CCTGTAGTGCATGTGGGGAAGTGGATGGGGAAGGCAGTGTGGGTTGCCCCTGCCATGGGAAAAGGCAAACCCACTCGTGGGATTGTCTTTGCCCAAGGACCAGGGTATACCTGGTGGGTAATGCAAAAAGATGGGGATATCAAGGTTGTGCCACAAGGAGATTTAACACTGGGAGAAAATTAATCTGTTATCCAAGTTATGTGTTGTAGGAGGACACTGCAGAACCAATGACAGGGCAACTTGGCAAGGAACCGGGCAAGTGCAACAGTGATGTGAGCTAAGCTGGTGCTGGTGTCAAGAAAACCAACTTCGCCTGCCCTGAGTGACCACTTTGACAGATGAAGCTGAAACCATCAACAGTTTTTATGAGCATTTTGGGAAAAGACCTATAGAATAAAGAGAAGTACAGACATAAAAATGCTTCAATGGACAGAAAACAATGGTGATGAGAACATCTCTATACTAAAGTGGACCTGATTGTGACACAAATGTTATGGAATAAGGGGTGGAAGTTGTGTTGGGTCTGTCTGAGCTGGAGTCACCTTTTCCCTGCAGCAGCCCGCACAGTGCTGTGCTCTGCACTCGTAGCTGGAACAGCACTGATAGCACTCCAGTGTTGTGTCTATTGCTGCGTAGTGCTGGCACAGCATCAGGACTCCTTCCAAGCCCCCAAGAGCCAGCAGGCTGGGGGTGGGCAAGTGATGGGGAGGGGACATTGCCAGGGCAGCTGACCTAAACCAACCAAAGGGATATTCCATAACACCTGATGTCACACTCAGCAATAAAAGGGGGGGCTCTCGTTGGGGAGGGGGCTGTTCCTCCTGAACAACCACTACGCGTTTGAGGCCCTGCTTCCCAGGACGTGGCCGAACACCGCTCGCCGATGGGAAGTAGAGAATAATTTTTCTCTCTCTCTGTGCTTCCGCGCGGACTGATTGTTTCTTTTGTATCTGTTTTTCCTTCCCATTCCCTTTCCCTTTAATTAAACCTTTCTCATCTCAAACCTCGAGTTCTCTGTGTTGTATTTTCTCCCCCTTCCTTCTGAGGAGAGGGGGAGGGAGAGAGTGGTTGTGGTGGAGCTTGGCTGCCCACCTGAGTAAAACCACCACGTCTTCAAAAACCCATTAGTGAGATCTTTAGAAATGGATTGTAGGCAATTTCACAATGCTCAGGGGTTGGGGCCCTTGCTCAGTGAGGAGGGGCTGAGGCAAAGATGTTTGGTCAGACTGCAGAGGAACCTCAGGGCAGCCTTCTCGTAACTACAAGGAGGGCAGCAAGACAAAGCCAAGCTATCTAAGCAGGGCATGGTACGATGACGACAAACAGCAGGCATGGGGGTACAAATCACCAAAGGGAGATGGCAATTATTTGGGTGTTATATAAGGGTGTTCTGGTGTCCCACAGACCTTGCTGATGCTGTTTTAAAAGAATTAAAAAAGCGAGGTAGGAATTAAAATTATTTCACTTATTGCGAACACAGAAGAGTGGCTATTAAATTGGGGGAGAAAATACAGGACAAAGAGGCTGGAGATGAGAATGGTTTAATTAAAGGGCAGGGGAATGGGGAGAAAAAGAAACAAAAGAAACAATAAGGCCGCGGGGAAGCGCAGAGAGAAGGAAAAAGAAATATTCTCTACTTCCCATCAACCCATCAACGAGCGATGTTCAGCCATGTCCTGGGAAGCAGGGCATCAGAACATGCAGTGGTTGTTCAGGAGGAACAGCCCCCTTCCCCACGGCAACCCCCTGTTTATTGCTGAGTGTGGCATCAGGTGCTATGGAATGTCCCTTTGGTTGGTTTAGGTCAGCTGCCCTATCCATGTCCCCTCCCCATCACCGCCCACCCCCATTGATTTCCTTTGATGAAGTGGCCAACCATCTGGTTGCCCAGGGGAAGCCAGCTGATGGCACCTGTTTGGATTTCAGCACAGCTTCGAGACAGCTTCTCACTGTCTCCTTCTGGACAAATTGGGCAGCACACAGCTAGAGCAATGCATAATGCGATGGGTGAACAAGGGGCTGACGGGTCGCGCTCCAAGGGTTATTGTAAATGGGGTCGCATCAGGGTGGCGGCCAGTCATAGGGGCTTCCGCAGGCCTCCATTTTAGGGCCTGTTCTCTTCGGTGTTGTCCCGACTGACTCGCATGTAGGACTTGAGGGCAGATGGAGTCCATTTATGCATGATGCTAAACAGGAAGGAGTGGCTGACTCCATCGAGGGGAGGAAGGCTTTGCAGAGAGATCTCGACAAAGCAGAGAGCTGGGCAATCCCCAGCAATATGAGGTTTAGCAAGAGCGAGTGAGGGATTCCACGCCTGGCAAGGGGCAACCCTGGCTGTATGGACAGCACAGCCCTGCAGACAGGGATCTGGGGGTTTTGGTCGATGGCAAGTTGAATGTGATTCAAGCACGGGCCCTGGCAGCCAGGAGGGGCAACAGCATCCTGGGGTGCCTCCAGCACGGCATCGCCAGCCGCTCAGGGGCAGGGATTGCTGTGCTCTGCTCTGCGCTCTTGCAGCATCACCTCAAGTCCTGGGTGCACTTTTGGGCAGCACACTAACACAAGGACATCAGGTTATGGGAGAGTGTCCAAAGGAGGGCTTGGAAGTGGTGGAGGATCTGGAGAGTAAGACGGATGAGGAGCACATGAGGTGCGCGTGTTTGTTCAGCCTGCATGAGACTGAGGGGAGGCCTCATGGCGGCCGGCAGCTTCCTCACGAGGGCAGCAGAGGGGCCGGCGCTGAGCTCTGCTCTCTGGGGCCACTGACAAAACTCGAGGGAATGGCAAGGAGATGGGCCACTGGAGGCTCTGGCTGCAGGTGAGGAAAAGATTGTACACCACCACGGGGCTTGGCCACTGAAACAGGCCTCCCAGGGAAGTGGTCATGGCAGCCAAGCTGCTGGGGTTCACCAAATGTCTGGCAAGTGCTTTCAGAGACATGCTTTGGTTTTTGGGGGTCACCCAGAGCGCTGGGCTCTGAGGTCACCCAGCGGTGGGCTGTGAGGTCACCCAGCAATGGGCTGTGACCTCACGGCCCTCGCTGCTTATATTGGGGCGCCGTCAGAGCCTGGCCCAGCCTGGCTCGTGCCTGGACTCCCGCTGAGCGTTTGTGCGAGGCTTGGAGTGCCGAGCAAGGATCTCTTGGGAGATTTGTTGGAGCTGTGCTGTGGGGCCGTTGGCAGCTGCTCTCGGTGCCCGTCCCCGCAGCCAGTGCCTGCGTTTCCCCGGCCCTGCCTGGCTCAGGCAGCCGGGGCTGTGGAAGGAGTGCTCGCAGCAGTGCAGGTGAGCTGTGAGGCGACACGTGCCCCGGGGCTGGGCTTGGGGTTTTGTCCTGCTGAGGGGCCGGGGCACTGCCGCTGCCTGCCCTGGCTCAGCCACTGACCCTGGCCTCTCTCCTTCTTGCAGCGCACAGCAGCTGTGGCAGCGGTGCCAGCCAGGGGAAGCAGCTCCCCATCTGCAGCTCTCCCCAGCCCGCTGCAGCGAGCCGACACCATGGGCGGTGAGGCCCAGGACATCACCTGCCCGGTGTGCCAGGGGGTGTGCAAGGAGCCCAGCTACGTCCTCCCCTGCCTGCACCAGTTCTGCTTCGGGTGCGTCATGCGCTGGGTCCAGAGAAGCAGCACCTGCCCCCTCTGCAGGCAGCGCATCACCTCCATCCGCTACTCCATCTGGGCGGAAGACGACTTCCTGGAGGTGCAGATGGCCCCCGATGCAGAGGCGCAAGACGACAGCCCCCAGGACGAGCAGGGGGCTGCAGAGCCCATGCCCCAGCCTGCCGTGAGAGGCCTCCCGCCCGAGGAATGGGCAGCCCTCTTCAGGGAACACCTCGAAGTCCTGGGTCCGCTGCGCTCCTGGGTGCGCCAGCAAGCCAGGGAGCTCTTCGATGCTGCCTGGTGGGACCAGGACATGCTGGAGGCCACCGTCGTCGCTTGGCTGTGCCGCTGTGGGCTGGATGAGCACGCCTTGGTGCGGGAGCTGCGGCCGTTGCTGCAGGGCCACACGGTGAGCATTGTGCAGCGGCTCATCTCCATCATGGGGGAGATATGCAGCGAGGAGTACCTCGAGGAGCTGGGCTTCCTGGAACCGCGTCCTGCCAGCCAGCTCTACATGGACAACGGCCCTGAGGTGGACCTCGAGGGCTCCCAAGACACCTGGGAGCCAGAGCTCGAGGGCTCCGAAGACACCTGGGAGCCAGAGCTCGAGGGCTCCCAAGACACCTGGGAGCCAGAAGACAGCCTGGAGGCCACCCCCAGCCCTGCTGCCTCCCCCCGGGACACTCCTGTCACCAGCCTGCTCTCCTCCAGCAGCGCGGAGGATTCTGACATCGAGGAGCTGCCCAGCGCCTCCAGTGCCGCCCTGCCTGCGGGTCCTGGCCAGCCGCCCGCTGCACCCATCCCTGAGGAGCAGGAGGAGCTCTTCTCAGAGCCTGAAGAGGAGGAAGCAGAACACGCTGCAGTGCCGGGCTGCAGCCACGGGGCCTCTCCTCCTGGCCAGGGCAGGGACAGCTCACCTGGGGGGCCCCGGCGCCCCCCGAAGAGGAGGGCCGACAGCAACCCGGACTCTCCCCAGCCCTGCAAGAGGCCCCGGCGCCTTTAGCAGGGCACATCTGGTTGTCATCCAAATAAAGAGGTGTGACCCTGCCACAGACAGTGTCTTGGGCTTCTTCGTCGAATCCCAGAATCCTACAGTCATAGAAATGTCGAGTGGCTCAGGTTGGAAGGGGCCTTAAAGACCACCTAGTTCCACTCCCCCTGCCATGGCCAGGGATGCCACCCACTGGATCTGGTTGCCCAGCCTGGTGATGGGCAATGTCTGCCCACTCGCTCAGGACCCGCAGATCCATCTCCTCAGGTCCCCTGGACTTGCGCATCACCATGTTCCTTCTTCCCCACCCTCCCCCAGACCCTTCAGGGCGCGGAGCAGCAGCGCCGACCCTCCCAACATGGCCGCCCTGCCGCGCCTCCCTCCCTCCTCCCTCCCTCCCTCCCGTTGGGCGCCGCGCGGCGGCCGCCATTGGCCCCGTGCTGCCGGCGGGCGGGCGGGGCGGGCGGTTCAAACGGCAACGGCCGCGCCGGGCGCTGTGGCGGAGCGGTGAGGCGGGGGCCGGGCCGGGCCCTGCGGGGTGGGGGGGGCCGGGCAGCAGCGCCCAGGCGCTGAGCAGGGGTCCCGGTGGGTCCCGGTGGGTCCCGGTGGGTCCCGGTGCTGCAAGCGGCCCCTCCGCGCCTCGGGCCGTGCTCTGAGGGCAGCGCAGCCACGGGTGGCGCTTTGTCGTTGGAGGTGCTGGGCAGAAGGGCAGGCGCCTGCTGGCCTCAGGATGTCTGTCAGCAGCGATGAGGAGATTCTGAAGTACTACGAGTTGCGCGAAACGATTGGGACGGGTAGGAGTGATCTCTGAACCAAGGCGCCTGCCTGCTGTCTGCCTGAGTACAGAGTGACTTCAAGCCCGTGAATTTTGGAGCACAATTCTGAAGCTAGTTGGCAGCCCTTAACTCAAATCGCCTCTTCCTCTGATGAAGGCATTGCGCACAATTCGTGCTGCGTACTCTGCTCTACAAGCGGGATTAAAAGGATGAACGCATGTTATCATGCTGAGCTTTAAACGGCTGTGTTTTCACTTTTAGGTGGGTTTGCAAAGGTAAAGCTTGGACGACATCTTCTTACCGGTGAAAAAGTTGCAATAAAAATCATGGACAAGCTTGCGCTAGGGGTAAGTCAAAAACATGTAACATTTGATAGCATCGTCTGTTTCTTGTGCAGTTCTCAAGAGCAAAGGGGTGCGGTACATAAAGATGCTGCCTACTAGCCCTGCTGCCTTTTAAAGGATGCTGTAGGGTTCAAGGAATGCTAACAAAGCACTGGAAACGTTGTGCCTTCTTGTGAAGTGCGCAGTATTCACTCGCTGTAAAATGGAGGAAGTTGAAAATTATTACAGTAATTCAAACAAAATGCTGATGAAAACAATAGATATTTTATGTCTTCAGGTTTTGCTGATCAGAATTATATGGGGGGAATGGAAGAGCTGTAGATGAGTTGATGTTGAATCGTATGCTGTCAGAAACGTGCTGTGAAATTTTGACTTCTGCAATAGTTTGCAGTTTACTGTTGTAAGTAGTCACCAAATTCATACCTTATGTTCATGGTCTCTTAGGATGACTTGCCTCGTGTTAAAACAGAAATTGATGCCATGAAGAATTTAAGTCACCAACATATTTGCCGGTTGTATCACGTAATAGAGACATCCAAGAAAATATTCATGGTCTTAGAGGTAAGAAATGGTGTTTCTGCCACGCTTGAGGTTACAGTACACGATCTGTCCGCTTTAGCAGTATGCGATAATAGTAAAGTTGAAATGATGCATTTCTTAAGAGGTTATCTAATTGATGAGTTTGTTCAAGATTCATTACTTTAAACATTAAGCTGAAAATACGTATTCTATATTCTATATATCTTCTCGTAAAAGCCACTCTTTGGTGTTCACAAAAAGTGAAATAAGTTTAATTCCTACCTTGCATTTCAATTATTTTAAAATAGCACCAGCAAGGTCTGTGAGACACCAGAACTCCCAAGTGATTGTCGTCTCCTGGGTGATTTGCACCACCCATGACAAGAGTGTAATGTCTTGGATACAAAATTTGAGGCAAGGGTCAGACTTCTTGGCTTGTGTGGTTTGCTGCAGTGGTGACCCATGCCAAACTTTTGGGTACTGATAAAGCAAAGGGAATATGCAGAGAGTCCTATAGCTGCTGTCCAGTGCTCTCTGTGCTCTCGTTGGTACTTAGACTTCCTGGTTATGCTCTAAACATATTCTCTTTTGCGCTTTACCTTCTTATTGCAGTATTGTCCTGGAGGAGAGCTGTTTGATTACATTATTTCCAAGGACCGTCTTTCAGAAGAAGAAGCTCGTGTATTTTTTCGGCAGATTGTTTCAGCAATTGCTTATGTTCACAGTAAGGGATATGCCCACAGGGACCTCAAACCAGTAAGCCTGAATAGTAGTCACATTTCTGTAAATAACAAATGATCTGATGCCTTCTGGAAATGTATTGTTTCTGCTTGCTACTGTGTGCCTCAGCTGAGCTGGATGTGGCTGACCCTGAGAAGGGATTTTCCTCTGAAATAGAACATAGTACTGAGAGTACTGCATTCAGCTCTGAGGCCTCCAGCACAAGGACATGGAAGTATTAGAACAAGTCCAGAGGAGGCCACAGAGATGATGAAGGGCTGGAGCACCTCTCCTATGAAGTCAGGCTGAGGGAGTTGGGGTTGTTCAGCCTGGCGAAGAGAAGGCTCCAGGGAGACCTTATAACAACTTTCCAATACCTAAAGGGGGCCAAAGGAAGTCTGGGGAGGGACTCTTTGTTGCGGATGTAGGGATAGGACAAGGAGTAGTGGTTTTAAACTGAGAGTGTAGATTTCGATTAGCTATAAGGAAGAAATTCTTTACTCTGAGGAGTGTGACACACTGGAAGAGGTTGCCAAGAGAAGCTGTGGATTAAGACCAGGCTGGAGGGGGCTTTGGGCAGCCTGGTCTAGCAGGAGGTGTCCCTGCCTGTGGCAGGGGGAGTGGAATAAGAGGATCTTTAAGGTCCCTTCCAATGCAAACCTTTCTGTGATTCTCTGCTCATGCTCTAAAAGGGAGCAGAGCAGAGACATGGAACTAATTTGGATGTTGGTTAGGTGTTTCTGTTACACTCTTTGTTCCAGTATGCACCTGGAGAGAGCCTTGATGGTGTCAATCTGTTGTGCACACTTATGGTTTTGTACCTCAAGGAACAGAGTCAGATAGCTTAAATGAAGGATACGTATAGAGAGGGTGCAGAATAAGATGCACGCTACTGGCCCCATCCTATAGCTTCTCTGTCTTTGCAGATTAAGCATTGTTTTAGTGGTTGGAAGATTTGAGTGTTTCTCCACAAATTGGTTAGAACTTTACATTTTTTAGAGATGCTGATATCTCTGAGAAAAACAAACCCTTGGAGCTCAGGCAATTTCCCAGACAGCTGATGAGATCTTTGTCTCCAAAGAGCTTTTCTCCAAAAAAAAGAAAGCTCTGTTTGTGCCTTTTGCAAGGAATTGGCTTCTAGACAATGAGCTGGTGAATCCGGAGGAGGATACGGTAACTTGGCTTGGAAGCGACTGCAGCGGTTTCTGCTTGAACCTGCTGCTCAAAGCAGAGTCAGACGCAGTGTCTGAAGGCTTTATCCTGTGCCATCTCCAAGCCTTAGTACAAGAAAAGGTGGTTCCTCGGATGCTCAGCTGAAAAGCATTACTTGCTGCTTTCTCTTTCACCAGGAAAATCTGCTGATTGACGAGGAACATAATCTGAAGCTGATAGACTTTGGGCTCTGTGTAAAGCCAAAGGTAAGAGTATCTGCTCGATCCAATACTATGTGCACCCAAGAAATGCATGTTTGACCACAGAATGCAATGCAGTGACTTGCCCAAACACCCTAAAGTAAAGCCATTGATGTGGTTGGGATGCAATTACTGCTTCCTTGGAAGGGACTGAACTGCGCAAGAGAACAGTTAACGGCTGTGGCTCTGAGCAGCCTGTTAAATCGTTTTCTCCATGTAGACTTGATATTTTTGTAATCTAAGGCAGAGTGTTGCGAAACCATTTGTTGTCGACGGAAGGAAGACACAGACGCTCAATATGAGTGATCAGTGAACTTCGATTTATTGGATAGCTCAGTCGTCTTTTATCTAATTCAATATAATTAGCTCATACATATTGCAAAAGCTAAGCTCATGATTGGTTAGTGCATTTCTCTATTCTATCAGCTAGTTTCCCACCAAAATAACACAGTTAGTACTTTCCCAGCATACCAACAGATATCACGTTCTTGTACCTGAAACCTCCCTGAAACCTCCCTAAAACCTCCCAGAACTTACATTCCTTCCCAGGCTGCATTTACGTATTTTCTCAGGCTCATTTGAGCTGTGTTCGATACTTTGTTAACTCGCGGCCTCCTAGCTGCTCAACATCCACATGACCTACTTCACTTACCCATTCCTCCACAATTCCCCCGTTTTTATTTTGGGCTACAAACACCTTCTTTGTGAGTTGTTCTAGTTTCCTAGATAAGCAGCTAAAGACTACCTGCGCAGCAATTATAATCAATACAATTATAAGCAAAAGGCGAAGTCCCTCTTTGATTAAGTTAAAAACCCATCCCCCTACATTTCCAAAGACAGATTTAAGCCAATCATCAAACCAATTATTCTGTATCGTAATTTTTTGTGTATGATCCATTAACCATTTTAATTGATTGTGAATTGATTGCCCATGATCAGAGAGATTAAAGCAACACATTCCTTCTACATCTTCACACCCATGTCCTTGAGCTAGTAGCAAGAAATCAATTGCAGCTCTATTTTGTAACACAGCATGTCTTATGCTCCCCATATCTTGCGACATTTCAGAAAGAACTTGTGTTGTTACATTTGATTGTTTAACAGCCCAACAAGCAAGCCTATTAATGTTAGTCAAAGCGTGTGCAGTTCCCACACCAGGCACTAAAGAAGCAAAGAATCTTTTTGCTGGACCCCACAATTCTACATTATCATTGCAGTCAGAACCCAAAGTTTTTAATTCTCGTTTAATTCTTCTGCTCCCTGTCGAGTTCTGCCACGAGTGCAAATCTGGAACGAAAAGTGTGAGTCGTCCTAGGTAACACGGTCCTCCAAAAGCATTGGAAGGTACAATGGATTTGTGAATTGACTCATTATGATCAAAACGTTTTAAACAGTACATTCCCTTAAATTTCTCCAAGTGGCTACTTCAAACAATGACTCCGGACTTGTGAAACATGATTTTCCTTGACCGATTGCAACTCGTCCTGCTAGTTGCTTTCAATCGACTCCCCATTTTCCTAAAAAGCAATGTAATAAATCTAGGGCTACTTCGTCCTTCATTTTCCTATGACTTTTTGCTGGCACTGATTTCCTATGATTTCAGCCTGCACTATGGCAATAAGCGTGCTCTCACTAACACAGTACACAGCACAACCGCACACCCAGAGCACAACCACACACCCAGAGCACAACCACACACCCAGAGGCCTCTGGCACATCTCAATCTCAATCATACCACAATCTCATTCACAAGAATATAATTTAGAATGATAAGCAAACAAATAAGTATTGTCTTTCTTTGTGTTCCTCGTGAAGTGACGTGCAACACTTTGTTTTAAAACCTTACCCTTACACAAATACTTCCAACACAAAATAGCTAGACATTTAAGAATAACACATACAATTATTAACACTCCAGTTAGTATCCCTTTTGCATTGCAAGGTAAACCTTTTATAAAAAGAATGCCAGAGAGAAGCAGCACAGCCGCCGCTGCCTCCATGGTTCCGTCACACAGGCTGCAGGGTCCTAATGTCTGTCCCTCTGTTCTGTGCCGACTCGCCACACGCTGAGGGTCGGCTGCCGTTGTCCACTGAGGCCTCTGGTCTCCCGTAGCAACTTGATCTCGGATGTCCCGCATCGCACCGTGATTACTTCAATTTTCCGCGTCTCTCCGCAATTCCTTTTTCCGCATCCCTCCGCGATTCTGTTTGTTCAAAGATTGTGCCCGGATTGATAAAACAACCCTTTGCTACCCCATATGCTAATAATCCTGGTAACTCCTTTTGCAGTCTATACCCTGCGTGCTCCGCTTTTCTAAAAAGCATTTGAGCAAATCATACGCCGCTTGTCTCTCCATACCTTTATATACGTCGGTACCGTTGCAGCCTTTGCAAAGACCTCGGCGACGCTTTCCGGCGGGACCCTCTATAGGCTCATCCCGGGTGCGAGGACTCCCTTTCCGAGCTGCGGGTGCGGGTGTGGTTCCATTCACCTTTCAGGCCTCGGGTGCGGGGATTCAGCAATTTGTAATCCTTTTCACCTCCTGAGCTGCGTTGCAGGACCGGTCCTTGTATTCCGTCCAACCGTGGCTCGCAGGTACAATTCCAGCGCAGGTTCAACTCCAGCGAAGTCCCTGTTCCTGTATTGCAGGTCCCTGTTCGGGCGCCATTTGTTGCGAAACCATTTGTTGTCGACGGAAGGAAGACACAGACGCTCAATATGAGTGATCAGTGAACTTCGATTTATTGGATAGCTCAGTCGTCTTTTATCTAATTCAATATAATTAGCTCATACATATTGCAAAAGCTAAGCTCATGATTGGTTAGTGCATTTCTCTATTCTATCAGCTAGTTTCCCACCAAAATAACACAGTTAGTACTTTCCCAGCATACCAACAGATATCACGTTCTTGTACCTGAAACCTCCCTGAAACCTCCCTAAAACCTCCCAGAACTTACATTCCTTCCCAGGCTGCATTTACGTATTTTCTCAGGCTCATTTGAGCTGTGTTCGATACTTTGTTAACTCGCGGCCTCCTAGCTGCTCAACATCCACATGACCTACTTCACTTACCCATTCCTCCACAGCAGAGATCATCTGGTATGTACAGCACCTTCTGTCTCATACAAGGGCCTGTAATATCAGGTTGGCATGCACTTTTCCTTCATGTGTTTTTCACCTGTGTATGTCTTTCTTCAAAAGATTTTTGTGGAGATGGATATTGTGGATAGAACCAACAAGTTTATACAGGTGACAGATGCAGATCCTCTGTTTCTGTGTGTTTGTCCTGAATTGTTTCTTGATCCTAGAAAGAGTTTTGAGAAGCCTTTTCTGTTTGCCTTTTTAACATGCAAGGTGGGTGCTGGTGAGGATCAATGTAACAAGGAGACAGTCTTAGGGATTTCAAGGGAGTTATTCACCCTCAGATTGTTTTGTTTGACTCAATAGAGCAAGTTAGAGCATCATGCTGGTAATCAGGACCAACAGAGCATAAGTTCAGTGGAATAACATCATCTTATTGTGATCTGTGTAGAAGACAGTGCATGTGAAATAATAACACGGTTTTGATAAGGAAGTGTTTTATCAGTGGGTCTTTGAAAAGTTATTGCATTAAATATTGTCATAAATAACCATCTAGCCTCATGCTCAGTAGCTCTTAGATCACTTCGTCACAGGTTTGTATCTCTTATCTGCACGTTTGCACAAGGAATTCATCTTAATAGATGAGGAGCTAAGGAAAAGAATGCATCTTGCCAAGGAACATAGATAAAGGAGCAGTTTGGGATCAGAACATGTTTGTGGTTTTAGATGTTTATGGTCTTAGACTATTTGCTTAGTAAATTCATAAGTTACAACAAAGCAAAATAAAAGATGAACATAGATGCATTGCAGAAAAAGAGGGAGCCTCTGAGGCTTCTACTGTGTCATTACTAGATGACATAAAGCGTGTTAGAGCCAAGGCTTCAGTGTGATTATTCCGATTTCTGTGTTATTCTAGGGAGGCCTTGATTACCATCTGAACACCTGCTGTGGAAGCCCAGCGTATGCAGCGCCGGAGCTGATTCAGGGCAAAGCATATATTGGATCAGAGGTATGTAGCAGAGTTGTAGTGTGTGATTTTTTTATTTTTTTTTTGATTTTTCTCCTCTGGTGCCCTGTTTGTAAAGGCAGTGAAGTTGGGGTATGCTCACTTGGTTTCCCTCCTGAATGCCCCTGGACAGCATTACTTTGGTACTTCCCACAGCTGCCTCAACTAGCCTTAGCAGTCGCAGACTCAAACAGTACTGTTGGCCACAGGTCAGGTAGCTGGCTGGTTTATCTCTGGCTAATCCTTACCTACCTCTACCAGTTGCTCCATCTTTTAGTGCCCTACAAAACAGTAACGTTCTTCTACTACAAAATCTTTGAAAGAGCACTGTCCTCTGTCAATTACTCCTCACTTGTCACAAATTTTTGTGCAATCTCAAAGTTTTAATGATTCGTCAGGCTTTTCTTTAGCTTGCAAGTTGTGCCTGAAGACTTGGTCCCTTTTTGTTGCACAATGTTATAAAAAACAGAGTGCAGAAAATGTGAAGAGGTTTCTCAGCTTTGATTTCATACCTGAAACTCTGGGCCTACTTGCAATTTGCATTTGTTAATCTATCCAAAATGCTGTAATGGGAATCCCTTCAAGCTTCTTAAGTTGCTTTGCTATTAGGATGGAGTCAGTCTTTTGTTTGCTCTCACAGCTTTGCACTGCTGTTGTTGGCCTCTGATTCTTTTTTTTTTTTTTTTTTTTTTTTTTTTTTTTTTAAACAAGATGAGCCTACTCTTCATGAAGTGTGTGGGGACTTTGCCAAGGGCGGACAATATGGTCTGTCATGAAGCCCTTTTGGATACATCTGCTTTGTGAACATCTACGCACTTTTATTTTTTAGGCAGATATTTGGAGCATGGGTGTACTGCCGTATGCTCTGCTGTGTGGCTTTCTCCCTTTTGATGATGACAACGTCATGGCAGTCTACAGGAGGATAATGGTAGGTATTGGTTGTGCTAGGAGGGACATGGCTGAGTGTTGCAAGAGGTTTGCTTTTCTGGTGACAGAACCTGCTAGGCTTTGCCTAAGGCAAAAAGGACTTTGTGCTGAATTTTGTCCCTTTCTGCTGCTCTTCCTAGCATTTTGTGCATTTCTTCCATTGGCCTTCCCGGTACACTAGCCTGGTGCGACTGGTGGATGATAGCAAGTGGAGTTTCAGAAGAAGAATTTTCTTGTCAATGGGCTGGATTTTTGGGGGGGGATCCTTCATCTGCCTTCTTCATATGCTGTGACAGAACCGTACATCTGCCATTGGATTTTCCAAGACTGACTGTTCTTGAATACCAGCTATTCTCCTCTCTGGGAAGGGCAGGATTCTGCTACCGCTATTGAGATTTCCTCCTCCAGAATGAGCATGCAAAGAGCTTTCTTCCATTCGATGCTTTTCCTGAAGGGGGCTGAAACCTAGGTGCAGCATTGTAGATGTCATCCAACAAGAGCTGAGCAGAGGGCTCAGCCCCCTGGTGTGTTGGTGCTGCTTCCTAATTCAGCCCACGGTAGTGTTGGGCATCTTTTCTGCCAGAAGACACCCCTGGCTTACATTCAGTGTGCTGTCTGTCAGCACTTCTCTGTCCAGAATGAGGAGGAAATGCAAGACCCCATAAGTTGCCTCCAAGAGAAAAGGCTGAATAGGTAGTAAGTAACAGCATTGAGTCGTTGGTTCTGTTTCCCTGTAAATTCCTCCCAGTACAGCTGAACAGCTGCTGTTTGGCATCCTGTAGACACCTCCACAAACCACTTGCAGGCTGCCAGCAAATTTCTGTTCACAAAGCCTCCAGTAAGCCAGCGGAGTGTGGAACAGCTGTGTTGGCTGAGGTCTTTGGCTTCCTCTACCTGCTTCTCCTTCCCTGACCAAGAGATTGGTATGACTGGAAAGTAGAGCATCCTGAAGAGGATTCAAGGACTGTGGTGGTAGGAGGGGGGACAGGAGATCTTTTGGAGTCTTCAAGGATGGTTTCTGCAGAGTTGAGGCCTCACTTCACGAGAAGCAGGAGCTGCATTCTTTGGAGAGGTGAAACATTGGCCAGTGGAACTTGTTGAGGTGAACAGAGATGAGCAAGTTTTAAAACTCAGTCTGAGTGCAGTGGAAGAGGGAAGTCTCAGAGGTGTTAAGATGCAGGCTTGCTATTTCTGCTCTGAATTTGTTTTAATTCTGTGTGGCTGCGAGATGAAAATTGCTTGAAATGGAGACACTTAGATATGCTTGTGGAATTGAATTTCACAGGTTACAGATGCTGAAATGTACTGTAATCTCAGCTCAAGGCTGTTGGAAGGCTGCTGCTTGAATCTAAGCTCTACAATTACCTTAAAGGAGGCTCTAGCGAGATGGGGATGGGTGTCCCCAAGCACCGAGTGATAAGACAAGAGGAAATGGCCTCAAGTTGCTCTGGAGGAGGTTTGGCTTGGCTATTAGGAAAAATTTCCTTATTGAAAGAGTTGAGAGGTATTGGAACAGGCAGCCCAGGGAAGTGGTTGAGTCACCACTCAGGAGGCATTCAAAAACCATGTAGATGAGGTGCTTGGTGACATGGTTTAATGGTGGGCTTGGCAGTGTGAGGTTAAAGGATGGACCAGCTGATCTTAGAGGTCTTTCCCAACCCACATGGTCCTGTGGTTGGAAGTAGGATCACAGTGCTTGCACACCTTGTTTCTTTCCCTGGAATGTTCCACATCTCTTCATTTGGGAATACTTAAGTCAACCAAGTACGTGCTACAGCTCCTGCAAGAAGAAAATACTTCTGGAGTGATCTTATGCTTCTGGTAGCTCTTGCGAGGTATTTGCCTTCCAGCACTGTCCTCAGTCAGGGAGATGCTACTTGTTTTACCTTGTCTCCTGATCTGTAGTGATATATTAAAAGCAAAATGGGTAATGGGGCTCCTTGGACCCACATGCAGATCATGTGGATTTGATGCCTTACTTTCCCAGTAAAGCTGCACTGTGAAATCTGAAATCTGCCCCCCATCTGTTTCTAATGATATCACTAACCATGTTTGTGAGGATGGAACAGGAGGTGTGGTGAGAGCATCTGCAGGAGTAGCGTGCTCCCGATGGATGGACCGCATGGTGCAGACCCATATTGGAGCAGTTCCTGAAGAGCTGCTGCCTGTGGGCAGCCCCCGCAGGCTCAGTTTGGGAAGTACGGCATCCCCTGCAAGGGACCCCGTGGGGAGCAGGGACAGAGAGGGAGGTGTAGGGAGCAGCAGGGACAAAGCATTATGGACTGCCCTGTTCCCTTGCATTGCTCAGAGGGAGGAGGTTTTTAGTTCTCACTGCTCGAGTTTATTACCATTTGTCAATACATTACATTGATCTTCATTACGCCGAGTCTGTTTTCCTTATAACGGTATGTGGTGAGTGATCTCTCTGTCCTTATCTCAACTCTCAAACATTTTTTGCATGTGGCTGTTCTTCCTTTTTGGCTGAAGAGAGATGTCACTGTCACCTAAGTAATTTAATAATCCTGTTTGACCTAACTATTCAAGGTTCATTCTACACCCTCTTTGTTGTTTTTTTTTTCCACAGAGAGGAAAATATACTATTCCAAAGTGGCTCTCTCCTAGCAGTACGCTGCTGCTTAGCCAAATGCTACAGGTAAAGGTGCTGCTTCTACTCAGATAGGTCTACAAAATGCTATTTCATTAGGTCGGAATACTACATCTATGCAGTACTTAGAAAATATTTGGTGTTTGAAGATTAACTCTTATATGTCTGAATCCTTGAAGGAAAGGTTAGCCTTGTCTTCTGCAGAAAATTCTCATGCAAGAATGTAATAATAGTTCATGGATATAGAAATTAAAATGTAAATAATTAAATGAAGTCTTGAAGCACCTTGCATTTGGGTGTTCTATTGATACAGCACAATTAAGAAGCGTTTATAAATGAGACGTTTTATTAATGAAGCTGAGCATATGAAATATGCCTTCGGGCTACATCTAGGCAGTCTAGTCACTGCAGAATGTTACTGGAACATGTACTGTAACCATAGGTGCTGTAACTGTTATTCACAGCTCAGACATTTAACCTTCCTTTTGCTGGGGTTCTGAAACATTGTTGTTGGTTTCTATTCTATCCGTTCTAAGCACCCAGAAGGTCTGAATAAAAGATAAGTTTTTTGTTCTATTCTCACAGATTTGTGTAACAACTTGATTCTTCCCTGCCCACTAGGTGGACCCAAAGAAGCGGATTACAGTTAAGCATCTGTTAAGTCACCCGTGGCTCATGGAAGGTTATTCAGATGCTGTCCACTGGCAAAGTAAATATCCAGTAAGTACACTTGCCAAGAAGGTTCCTTGGCATTTCATGTAATCTTATTTGCTGTCACAACGGTACAGGTTCTTTGCCATTTCTTTTCAGGAGGCATTTCAAGGTACGTTGTCATTGTATTCTGTCGTTGATGCTTCATTAGCAAAACAGCTAGCTTCTCATCAAAATGTGCAGAACTTCTGTATATGAGCAACCAGTTGATTCTCCAGGCTCCTTGGTCAATACTTTTGTTTAGGGGGTAAAAAACAAGTATTATTATTTTTCTTGGACATGCTTATGGTTTATCTTAATTCTAGTTCTCACTGAGAATTGCTCATTTGGCCAACAAGCTGACCTCTTTGAAAGCATATTTGTCCTCTCTGTACTTCAACTCTTTTGATGTGTGTGAGTTAAGGATAGTGTGGGGGCTTGGGGGAAATTCCAGCTGTCACCAAGTGCTGATGAGCAGCTGATGCTCATTTGCAGCCAATGCCGCCTGCTGGCCACTGGGTGCTGCTGTTTGTCTAGGTAAAGAACAGCTTGTTGCACGTGCGCTGTCAGTTTTAAGCAGCTCTGGCAAAGACGTGCATGCCTGATGCAGCTTTGCATATTTAAGAAGAGATAAAAGTGTAGCTTCCACTCAAGTGAAAAATCTTATCTGCAGACAGCCTTTCCTACGTGAGTTCAGAACCTCTCACCAGGGAGGGCCGAGACGCTGAAGTTGCTGAAGTTGTGTGACTTTCTCCGTTTACTCACGGCAACATTTAGCCATGATGCTAACTAAAATACAAAATCTGAAATCTTGGATAATGAGAGACTCCGCCTGCTGCATATCACAGCAGTGTCATGGTCAGATGTGTCTCAATGAGGCAACCTGAAAGCTTCATGCTTGAATGTAGTCCATGTTCTTGCAGCAGGGACACCTTGACGAGGACTGCGTGACAGAGCTTTCCGTGTTTCACAACCAGAGCAGGGAGAGAATATTGGAATTAATATCAGAGGTAAGAACTACATGTTGTTAATTTGTTGTAATTAAGCATGCTAATACAGTAAGTAACCTGAGCGTATTGGCAGCCTCATGGTGCCTTATTCTCAGGCGTGAGTTTTGCTGTGCTTTTCCAACCTAGGGAATCCCCACAGAATTTCAGATCTGTCAGTACAGCTCTGAAGCTCAATTTTGCCTTTTCTTTTTCCTCCTTTCATTGTGTTTCCCAAACTTTATTGATATTTTCTACCACGTTAATATCCTTATGAATTTCTGAAAGGCAAAATAGACTCAACCTAAAGATGTCTGGATGAACAACCGATTTCTTGCACTGGCTGAACTCCGTGCTTTGCAATGTTCTGATACCGGAGAGAAAACTTCCAGTGCATCGCTCAGCCAGGCTATAAAATAAGCGTGGGGGAATTGCTTTTCACAAACTTTGGAAGAAGTGAATCAGTTCCTGTCCCATTGGAATATAAATGACAAAAGCTGAGCTGACTACCTGTAGAGGAATTGTACCAAGGTGTTAGTGGTGATATTCTAACCTGGTAGAAGAGGCTTACAACATGAGGTGGACTCCGGCCTTAATGTGAATCTGAAAATTGTCCTTTGAAATTTATTTTTTTTTATTCTACTGTATAGAATGAAGACTTGGGATAAAATCTTTCACATAACTGTAGCAGAAACAGACTTTTAAAATATATGTTCTATTTAAAATGGATAAATTTTGGAGTAAATATTGTTGGTTGTTTTTTTGTTTGTTTGTTTTGTGTTTGTTTGTTTGCTTGTTTTTTCAGTTACAAGAAATACAGGAAATAATCTGAATAATCTACTCACAGGAGGAAACAGCTTGTCCAATTAAGTTTTGGCATTTACACCGTCCTTTACTAGGGGACTTCTATTGCCTTATAACTTATTCAGGCTACTGGTATTATGCTGCAAACCTGGCAAGCATTTTTCTTGCAGTCCTCATAGCAGTTGTGTTGCTGAAAATCACACCAAATGTTGATTAAAAAAATTTTTCTTGTTGTACTCCCAATCAACTTGCTAGCAGGCAGCCTAGGAAGAGGAAAGAACTTCTCCAGTATGGCCACTTACAAATATTAAGGACATGGTGGCTTACAGTAGACTACAGAAAGTTGAATGCAGCTACTAAACCATTGACTGCCACAGCACCCAGTCTGTCTGACATACCTAATCTGCTTAATACAGCAGGATTTAAATGATGGCTGTCGTTGGTGTTAGAGATATCTTTTGGTCACATTAGCACGGCAGGAACAAGACAAATTTGCTTTTCCTTTGGAAGTAATACAGCCTTTTTTGCTCATTTACCCCAGAGGGTTAAGCACAGACTTGCACCAACACATGCTGAATTGGCTAAGACATTAGAAGAAGTAAGGTTACCTGCTGGAATCACATTAATTCAGTATGTAGATATTGAGTGGGGACAGTGATGACCAGCAAGTACAAGAAGGAATGGGCTTCCTCATAGACAGACATATGCCAGCAGTGCTCATATCTGTTAGCCACTCTGACAACTGTTTGCAATTGCTGGCAGTTGTACTGATTATTGTGCTAAGAAGCTACCCAGGAATGGCCAGGGGTATATTCTGAACATAGAGTCCCTACTAATATCAAGAAAATTCTCAATTTCACCTTTCCAACCAAATGGCACAAGCATAACACTAGTACTACAGAAAGTACAAATGAGAATTTTGAGTACAATGAGACCTGGACAGGCTGGAGAGCTGGGCAGGAAGAAACCAAATGAGGTTGTTAGAAATGGCTCAGTCTTCAAAATAGGATTAAATAAAAAAATAGGATTTATTAAAAGAATAGAGGTAAGCAAACAGCGCTGGGTGTACCGGGAGTCTCCGCTCCACCAGGACGCACACCAGTTACATCAAGTAGCTGATTTTTATGCTCCTAGACTAATCCATATTCAGTACTACTTCTAAAAAAATAAGTTATTATAATTAGTATTAATTAATTAATAATTATAATAACCTATTAAAAATAGGTTATTAATAATTATAATTGGGTCCTGTGGGTCCTGAGCGAGTGGGCAGACATTGCCCATCACCAGGTTGGGTGAGGCCAGTGAGTTGCATCCCTGGCCATGGCAGGTGGAGTGGAACTAGGTGGTCTTTAAGGCCCCTTCCAACCTGAGCCACTCGACATTTCTATGACTGTAGGATTCTGGGATTCGACGAAGAAGCCCAAGACACTGTCTGTGGCAGGGTCACAACTCTTTATTTGGATGACAACCAGATGTGCCCTGCTAAAGGCGCCGGGGCCTCTTGCAGGGCTGGGGAGAGTCCGGGTTGCTGTCGGCCCTCCTCTTCGGGGGGCGCCGGGGCCCCCCAGGTGAGCTGTCCCTGCCCTGGCCAGGAGGAGAGGCCCCGTGGCTGCAGCCCGGCACTGCAGCGTGTTCTGCTTCCTCCTCTTCAGGCTCTGAGAAGAGCTCCTCCTGCTCCTCAGGGATGGGTGCTGGACCCGCAGGCAGGGTGGCACTGGAGGTGCTGGGCAGCTCCTCAATGTCAGAATCCTCTGCGCTGCTGGAGGAGAGCAGGCTGGTGACAGGAGTGTCCCGGGGGGAGGCAGCAGGGCTGGGGGTGGCCTCCAGGCTGTCTTCTGGCTCCCAGGTGTCTTGGGAGCCCTCGAGCTCTGGCTCCCAGGTGTCTTGGGAGCCCTCGAGCTCTGGCTCCCAGGTGTCTTGGGAGCCCTCGAGCTCTGGCTCCCCGGTGTCTTCGGAGCCCTCGAGCTCTGGCTCCCAGGTGTCTTGGGAGCCCTCGAGGTCCACCTCAGGGCCGTTGTCCATGGAGAGCTGGCTGGCAGGACGCGGTTCCAGGAAGCCCAGCTCCTCGAGGTACTCCTCGCTGCATATCTCCCCCATGATGGAGATGAGCCGCTGCACAATGCTCACCGTGTGGCCCTGCAGCAAGGGCCGCAGCTCCCGCACCAAGGCGTGCTCATCCAGCCCACAGCGGCACAGCCAAGCGACGACGGTGGCCTCCAGCATGTCCTGGTCCCACCAGGCAGCATCGAAGAGCTCCCTGGCTTGCTGGCGCACCCAGGAGCGCAGCGGACCCAGGACTTCGAGGTGTTCCCTGAAGAGGGCTGCCCATTCCTCGGGCGGGAGGCCTCTGACGGCAGGCTGGGGCATGGGCTCTGCAGCCCCCTGCTCGTCCTGGGGGCTGTCGTCTTGCGCCTCTGCATCGGGGGCCACCTGCACCTCCAGGAAGTCGTCTTCCGCCCAGATGGAGTAGCGGATGGAGGTGATGCGCTGCCTGCAGAGGGGGCAGGTGCTGCTTCTCTGGACCCAGCGCATGACGCACCCGAAGCAGAACTGGTGCAGGCAGGGGAGGATGTAGCTGGGCTCCTTGGGGGCCCCCTGGCACACAGGGCAGGTGATGTCCTGGGCCTCACCGCCCATGGTGTCGGCTCGCTGCAGCGGGCTGGGGAGAGCTGCAGATGGGGAGCTGCTTCCCCTGGCTGGCACCGCTGCCACAGCTGCTGTGCGCTGCAAGAAGGAGAGAGGCCAGGGTCAGTGGCTGAGCCAGGGCAGGCAGCGGCAGTGCCCCGGCCCCTCAGCAGGACAAAACCCCAAGCCCAGCCCCGGGGCACGTGTCGCCTCACAGCTCACCTGCACTGCTGCGAGCACTCCTTGCACAGCCCCGGCTGCCTGAGCCAGGCAGGGCCGGGGAAACGCAGGCACTGGCTGCGGGGACGGGCACCGAGAGCAGCTGCCAACGGCCCCACAGCACAGCTCCAACAAATCTCCCAAGAGATCCTTGCTCGGCACTCCAAGCCTCGCACAAACGCTCAGCCAGAGTCCAGGCACGAGCCAGGCTGGGCCAGGCTCTGACGGCGCCCCAAGATAAGCAGCGAGGGCCGTGAGGTCACAGCCCATTGCTGGGTGACCTCACAGCCCACCGCTGGGTGACCTGAGAGCCCAGCGCTCTGGGTGACCCCCAAAAACCAAAGCATGTGTCTGAAAGCACTTGCCTGAAAGACATTTGGTGAACCCCAGCAGCTTGGCTGCCATGACCACTTCCCTGGGAGGCCTGTTTCAGTGGCCAAGCCCCGTGGTGGTGTCCAATCTTTTCCTCACCTGCAGCCAGAGCCTCCAGTGGCCCATCTCCTTGCCATTCCCTCGAGTTTTGTCCGTGGCCCCAGAGAGCAGAGCTCAGCGCCGGCCCCTCTGCTGCCCTCGTGAGGAAGCTGCCGGCCGCCATGAGGCCTCCCCTCAGTCTCATGCAGGCTGAACAAACACGCGCACCTCATGTGCTCCTCATCCGTCTTACTCTCCAGATCCTCCACCACTTCGAAGCCCTCCTTTGGACACTCTCCCATAACCTGATGTCCTTCTGTTAGTGTGCTGCCCAAAAGTGCACCCAGGACTTGAGGTGATGCTGCAAGAGCGCAGAGCAGAGCACAGCAATCCCTGCCCCTGAGCGGCTGGCGATGCCGTGCTGGAGGCACCCCAGGATGCTGTTGCCCCTCCTGGCTGCCAGGGCCCGTGCTTGACTCACATTCAACTTGCCATCGACCAAAACCCCCAGATCCCTGTCTGCAGGGCTGTGCTGTCCATACAGCCAGGGTTGCCCCTTGCCAGGCGTGGAATCCCTCACTCGCTCTTGCTAAACCTCATATTGCTGGGGATTGCCCAGCTCTCTGCTTTGTCGAGATCTCTCTGCAAAGCCTTCCTCCCCTCGATGGAGTCAGCCACTCCTTCCTGTTTAGCATCATGCATAAATGGACTCCATCTGCCCTCAAGTCCTACATGCGAGTCAGTCGGGACAACACCGAAGAGAACAGGCCCTAAAATGGAGGCCTGCGCAAGCCCCTAGGACTGGCCGCCACCCTGATGCGACCCCGTTTACAATAACCCTTGGAGCCCGACCCGTCAGCCCCTTGTTCACCCATCGCATTATGCATTGCTCTAGCTGTGTGCTGCCCAATTTGTCCAGAAGGAGACAGTGAGAAGCTGTCTTGAAGCTGTGCTGAAATCCAAACAGGTGCCATCAGCTGGCTTCCCCTGGGCAACCAGATGGTTGGCCACTTCATCAAAGGAAATCAATGGGGGTGGGCGGTGATGGGGAGGGGACATGGATAGGGCAGCTGACCTAAACCAACCAAAGGGACATTCCATAGCACCTGATGCCACACTCAGCAATAAACAGGGGGTTGCCGTGGGGAAGGGGGCTGTTCCTCCTGAACAACCACTGCATGTTTTGATGCCCTGCTTCCCAGGACATGGCTGAACATCGCTCGTTGATGGGTTGATGGGAAGTAGAGAATATTTCTTTTTCCTTCTCTCTGCGCTTCCCCGCGGCCTTATTGTTTCTTTTGTTTCTTTTTCTCCCCATTCCCCTGCCCTTTAATTAAACCATTCTCATCTCCAGCCTCTTTGTGCTATATTTTCTCCCCCAATTTAATAGCCACTCTTCTGTGTTCGCAATAAGTGAAATAATTTTAATTCCTACCTCGCTTTTTTAATTCTTTTAAAACAGCATCAGCAAGGTCTGTGGGACACCAGAACACCCTTATATAACACCCAAATAATTGCCATCTCCCTTTGGTGATTTGTACCCCCATGCCTGCTGTTTGTCGTCACCGCACCATGCCCTGCTGTGATAGCTTGGCTTTGTCTTGCTGCCCTCCTTGTAGTTATGAGAAGGCTGCCCTGAGGTTCCTCTGCAGTCTGGCCAAACATCTTTGCCTCAGCCCCTCCTCACTGAGCAAGGGCCCCAACCCCTGAGCATTGTGAAATTGCCTACAATCCATTTCTAAAGATCTCACTAATGGGTTTTTGAAGATGTGGTGGTTTTACTGAGGTGGGCAGCCAAGCTCCACCACAACCACTCTCTCCCTCCCCCTCTCCTCAGAAGGAAGGGGGAGAAAATACAACACAGAGAACTCGAGGTTTGAGATGAGAAAGGTTTAATTAAAGGGAAAGGGAATGGGAAGGAAAAACAGATACAAAAGAAACAATCAGTCCGCGCGGAAGCCCAGAGAGAGAGAAAAATTATTCTCTACTTCCCATCGGCGAGCGGTGTTCGGCCACGTCCTGGGAAGCAGGGCCTCAAACGCGTAGTGGTTGTTCAGGAGGAACAGCCCCCTCCCCCACGAGAGCCCCCCCTTTTATTGCTGAGTGTGACATCAGGTGTTATGGAATATCCCTTTGGTTGGGTTAGGTCAGCTGCCCCGGCAATGTCCCCTCCCCATCACTTGCCCACCCCCAGCCTGCTGGCTCTTGGGGGCTTGGAAGGAGTCCTGATGCTGTGCCAGCACTACACAGCAATAGACACAACACTGGAGTGATATCAGTGCTGTTCCAGCTACGAGTGCAGAGCACAGCACTGTGCGGGCTGCTGCAGGGAAAAGGTGACTCCAGCTCAGACAGACCCAACACAGAAGACATAATTGAAATTCTTCCTCCGTGGAAAGGAACCCGTGATGGAGCAAAACACAAGTTTTCATACAAGCATATTGGACGTGCTTATGGTTTTTCTCATTTCTACGTCTCAGAGAATTGCTTGTTCGGCTACCGATTTGGCCTCTTTGAAAGCGTTTGTCCTGACCGTCTCTCCATTGTTTGCCAATGCCTCCTGCTGGCCACTGGCTGCTGCTGTTTGTCTAGGTAAAGAACAGCTTGTTCAACCCACATGGTCCTGTGGTTGGAAGGAGGATCACAGTGCTTGCACACCTTGTTTCTTTCCCTGGAATGTTCCACATCTCTTCATTTGGGAATACTTAAGTCAACCAAGTATGTGCTACAGCTCCTGCAAGAAGAAAATACTTGTGGAGTGATCTTATGGTTCTGGTAGCTCTTGCGAGGTATTTGCCTTCCAGCACTGTCCTCAGTCAAGGAGACGCTACTTGTTTTACCTTGTCTCCTGATCTGTAGTGATGTATTAAAAGCAAAATGGGTAATGGGGCTCCTTGGACCCACATGCAGATCATGTGGATTTGATGCCTTACTTTCCCAGTAAAGCTGCACTGTGACATCTGAAATCTGCCCCCCATCTGTTTCTACTGATATCACTAACCATGTTTGTGAGGATGGAACAGGAGGTGTGGTGAGAGCATCTGCAGGAGTAGCGTGCTCCCGATGGATGGACCGCATGGTGCAGACCCATATTGGAGCAGTTCCTGAAGAGCTGCTGCCTGTGGGCAGCCCCCGCAGGCTCAGTTTGGGAAGTACGGCATCCCCTGCAAGGGACCCCGTGGGGAGCAGGGACAGAGAGGGAGGTGTAGGGAGCAGCAGGGACAAAGCATTATGGACTGCCCTGTTCCCTTGCATTGCTCAGAGGGAGGAGGTTTTTAGTTCTCACTGCTCGAGTTTATTACCATTTGTCAATACATTACATTGATCTTCATTACGCCGAGTCTGTTTTCCTTCTAACGGTATGTGGTGAGTGATCTCCCTGTCCTTATCTCAACTCTCAAACATTTTTTGCATGTGGCTCTTCTTCCTTTTTGGCTGAAGAGAGATGTCACTATCACCTAAGTAATTTAATAATCCTGTTTGACCTAACTATTCAAGGTTCATTCTACACCCTTTATTTTTTTTTTCCACAGAGAGGAAAATATACTATTCCAAAGTGGCTCTCTCCTAACAGTACGCTGCTGCTTAGCCAAATGCTACAGGTAAAGGTGCTGCTTCTACTCAGATAGGTCTACAAAATGCTATTTCATTAGGTCGGAATACTACATCTATGAAGTACTTAGAAAATATTTGGTGTTTGAAGATTAACTCTTATACGTCTGAATCCTTGAAGGAAAGCTTAGCCTTGTCTTCTGCAGAAATTTCTCATGCAAGAATGTAATAATAGTTCATGGATATAGAAATTAAAACGTAAATAATTAAATGAAGTCTTGAAGCACCTTGCATTTGGGTGTTCTATTGATACAGCACAATTAAGAAGTGTTTATAAATGAGACGTTTTATTAATGAAGCTGAGCATATGAAATATGCCTTCGGGCTACATCTAGGCAGTCTAGTCACTGCAGAATGTTACTGGAACATGTACTGTAACCATAGGTGCTGTAACTGTTATTCACAGCTCAGACATTTAACCTTCCTTTTGCTGGGGTTCTGAAACATTGTTGTTGGTTTCTATTCTATCCGTTCTAAGCACCCAGAAGGTCTGAATAAAAGATAAGTTTTTTCTTCTATTCTCACAGATTTGTGTAACAACTTGATTCTTCCTGCCCACTAGGTGGACCCAAAGAAGCGGATTACAGTTAAGCATCTGTTAAGTCACCCGTGGCTCATGGAAGGTTATTCAGATGCTGTCCACTGGCAAAGTAAATATCCAGTAAGTACACTTGCCAAGAAGGTTCCTTGGCATTTCATGTAATCTTATTTGCTGTCACAACGGTACCGGTTCTTTGCCATTTCTTTTGAGGAGTCACTTCAAGGTACGTTGTCATTGTATTCTGTCATTGATGCTTAATTAGCAAAACAGCTAGCTTCTCATCAAAATGTGCAGAACTTCTGTATGTGAGCAACCAGTTGATTCTCCAGGCTCCTTGGTCAATACTTTGGTTTAGGGGGTAAAAAACAAGTATTATTATTTTTCTTGGACATGCTTATGGTTTATCTTAATTCTAGTTCTCACTGAGAATTGCTCGTTTGGCCAACAAGCTGACCTCTTTGAAAGCATGTTTGTCCTCTCTGTACTTCAACTCTTTTGATGTGTGTGAGTTGAGGATAGTGTGGGGGCTTGGGGGAAATTCCAGCTGTCACCAAGTGCTGATGAGCAGCTGATGCTCATTTGCAGCCAATGCCTCCTGCTGGCCACTGGCTGCTGCTGTTTGTCTAGGTAAAGAACAGCTTGTTGCACGTGCGCTGTCAGTTTTAAGCAGCTCTGGCAAAGACGTGCATGCCTGATGGAGCTTTGCATATTTAAGAAGAGATAAAAGTGTAGCTTCCACTCAAGGGAAAAATCTTATCTGCAGACAGCCTTTCCTACGTGAGTTCAGAACCTCTCACCAGGGAGGGCCGAGACGCTGAAGTTGCTGAAGTTGTGTGACTTTCTCCGTTTACTCACGGCAACATTTAGCCATGATGCTAACTAAAATACAAAATCTGAAATGTTGGATAATGAGGGACTCCGCCTGCTGCATATCACAGCAGTGTCATGGTCAGATGTGTCTCGATGAGACAACCTGAAAGCTTCATGCTTGAATGTAGTCCATGTTCTTGCAGCAGGGACACCTTGACGAGGACTGCGTGACAGAGCTTTCCGTGTTTCACAACCAGAGCAGGGAGAGAATATTGGAATTAATATCAGAGGTAAGAACTACATGTTGTTAATTTGTTGTAATTAAGCATGCTAATACGGTAAGTAACCTGAGCGTATTGGCAGCCTCATGGTGCCTTATTCTCAGGTGTGAGTTTTGCTGTGCTTTTCCAACCTAGGGAATCCCCACAGAATTTCAGATCTGTCAGTACAGCTCTGAAGCTCAATTTTGCCTTTTCTTTTTCCTCCTTTCATTGTGTTTCCCAAACTTTATTGATATTTTCTACCATGCTAATATCCTTATGAATTTCTGAAAGGCAAAATAGACTCAACCTAAAGATGTCTGGATGAACAACCGATTTCTTGCACTGGCTGAACTCCGTGCTTTGCAATGTTCTGATACCGGAGAGAAAACTTCCAGTGCATCGCTCAGCCAGGCTATAAAATAAGCGTGGGGGACTTGCTTTTCACAAACTTTGGAAGAAGTGAATCAGTTCCTGTCCCATTGGAATATAAATGACAAAAGCTGAGCTGACTACCTGTAGAGGAATTGTACCAAGGTGTTAGTGGTGATATTCTAACCTGGTAGAAGAGACTTACAACATGAGGGGGACTCCGGCCTTAAGGTGAATCTGAAAATTGTCCTTTGAAATTTATTTTTTTTTATTCTACTGTATAGAATGAAGACTTGGGATAAAATCTTTCACATAACCGTAGCAGAAACAGGCTTTTAAAATATGTGTTCTATTTAAAATGGATAAATTTTGGAGTAAATATTGTTGGTTGTTTTTTTGTTTGTTTCTTTTGTGTTTGTTTGTTTGTTTGTTTGTTTTTTCAGTTACAGGAAATACAGGAAATAATCTGAATAATCTACTTACATGAGGAAACAGCTTGTCCAATTAAGTTTTGGTATTTACACCATCCTTTACTAGGGGACTTCTATTGCCTTATAACTTATTCAGGCTACTGGTATTATACCGAATCTGCTTAATACAGCAGGATTTAAATGATGGCTGTCGTTGGTGTTAGAGACAGTCTTTTGGTCACATTACCACGGCAGGAACAAGACAAATTTGCTTTTACTTTGGAAGTAATACAGCATTTTTTGCTCATTTACCCCAGGGGGTTAAGCACAGACTTGCACCAACACATGCTGAATTGGCTAAGACATTAGAAGAAGTAAGGTTACCTGCTGGAATCACATCAATTCAGTATGTAGATATTGAGTGGGGACAGTGATGAGCAGCAAGTACAAGAAGGAATGGGCTTCCTCATAGACAGACATATGCCAGCAGTACTCATATCTGTTAGCCACTCTGACAACTGTTTGCAATTGCTGGCAGTTGTACTGATTATTGTGCTAAGAAGCTACCCATGAATGGCCAGGGGTATATTCTGAACACAGAGTCCCTACTAATATCAAGAAAATTCTCAATTTCACCTTTCCAACCAAATGGCACAAGCATAACACTAGTACTACAGAAAGTACAAATGAGAATTTTGAGTACAATGAGACCTGGACAGGCTGGAGAGCTGGGCAGGAAGAAACCAAATGAGGTTGTTCGAAATGGCTCAGTCTTCAAAATAGGATTAAATAAAAAAATAGGATTTATTAAAAGAATAGAGGTAAGCAAACAACGCTGGGTGCACCGGGAGTCTCCGCTCCACCAGGACGCACACCAGTTACATCAAGCAGCTGATTTTTATGCTCCTAGACTAATACATATTCATTGCTACTTCTAAAAAATAGGTTATTATAATTAGTATTATTTAATTAATTAATTAATTAATCACCTTATTAATTATGTGAGGAATGTGTTAACAATTCGTGTCCATAAAGAACAATTCTGTTTGAATCCTGTCTGCCTCTGGGCCCTGCACTGGCAATTTAGTTCTTGAATCACAGATGCAGTGTGTCCCAGTCTCCCCCTCATTCTAGTCAATTTATCACGTCTTCAGAAAGCACTCCTTAAATTTATGAACCTGTTTGCTTTTGTTATTCCGGACTTCTATTTCTAACAGTTACAGCTTTTTTTTCCTGTCTTCTTCGAGATTGATTTAACACTGCTATAGATGTTATGTAGATGACTGTGAATAGCTGGGAAAGGAAAGTTTTAATTGCTCGTGAGTCGTCAAGCTGTTTGGGAGTTTCAGAACAACTGATAATAACTGGTGACTGCTGGTGACTGTTATGAGATCCTTGGTATCTGGCCAGGGGGGGCCAAGATATTAAGAGGAAGAAAAAAGAAGCCGAAGGACGGTTGGGAGACAAGACCTGCGGAGAGTGTACAGAGAGTGTTCCATAAACTTGGAATAGTGCTGAGTAAGTACAAAGGGGGAGAGGAAGACTACGAGCCTTCAGCATGAAAGACCCCTAGAGACCCCCAGAGGAGACTGATGCGCATGCTCCAGTAGGAGGAACTGGACCCCGGAAGCTAATTATAATAATCTATTTTTTTAGAAGTAGTAATGAATATGTATTAGTCTAGGAGCATAAAAATCAGCTGCTTGATGTAACTGGTGTGTGCGTCCTGGTGGAGCAGAGACTCCCGGTGCACCCAGCGCTGTTTGCTTACCTCTATTCCTTTATATTCTTTTAATAAATGCTATTTTTTTTATTTAATGCTAATTTGAATCCTGAGCCATTTATAACAATTTGGGGGCTCGTCCGGGATGGCTATAGTTCCTGAATTCTGATTTAATCTAGGAGAGGCGCCCCACCATTTGAGTCAGATCGGGACTAATGCCATCCTGAACCTGAATAAAGGTAAGCAAAGAATTCAATTTTTTTTTGAGCTCCCTTGTTGCCGGCTGTTTTTTGCCCGTAATCCTGCGCGCGAAGATCCGGACGAAGACGACAGAGTTGTTTGGATACCGTTCGGCTGGATTCCGGTGCCCGGAATCGAACCGGATGAAGACGACAGTCGTTTGGATACCGTCTGGTTCGATCCCAGACGAAGACAGCAGAGACGCTGGTGGATACCGTCCGACTGGAGTCTGGACAAAGAATCTTACTGATTCGTAAGATACCGTCCGGTTGGGTTAAGGATGAGACCTGGACTCTCTGAGACCTGAACAGGCCGAGAGACCGGAGCGGCGCTGGGAGACCCGAGACACTATGGAGGGACTACCGCTGGACGGAGAGAGCCCTGAGAGACGCTGCAGAGCCACGGACGGCTCTGAGAGACACAGAATAGACCTGACAGAAGCTGCAAAACGCGCGGAAATTGAAGTAATTGCGGAACATCCGAGATCGAGTTGCTACGGGAGACCAGAGGCGTCAGTGGACACCGGTAGCTGACCCTCACCGTGTGGCGAGTCGGCACAGAGCAGAGGGGCGGACATCAGGACCCTGCAGCCTGTCTGACATAACCATGGAGGCAGCGGCAGCAGCGGCTGTGCTGCTTCACTCTAGCATTCTTTTTATAAAAGGTTTATCTTGCAATGCAAAAAAGACTATTCGTCCCCAGATCGGTGTTATAACTATTACTAATGACGACTTAGCTCTATTGCAGGGCAGGAGTGCAGAGACGCAGATTACACTGCCAAATGACCACCGGCAGGCTCTTTCACAAACCTAAGGTTGCAGCTGGCACTGCCTGCAGCCGTATAGCAGACGTTCCACTCTCTTTCCTAACTAGTAATCATGTGTCTCATCCATTTGTGGTGAATGGTCAGTGGCAAAAAGAAAAGGAGGATGCCACTGACACTAACAGCATGGGTAATAGGAGTAGTATAAGTGACACAGGTGATGGTGTGGGGCGCTCTGCCTGCTGCTCGCCTTCACCTGACTGTGCACTGCTGCCAACGGTGCTAGAGTAAAATGTGAAGACTGTCTGGATGGCACTGATGAAGCAAACTGTAACAATGTTATTCAATGCTCTGGACCTGACAAATTCAAGTGCAGAAGTGGAGAATGCATAGATATCAATAAAGTGTGTAACCAGCAGAGAGACTGCAAGGACTGGGGTGATGAGCCCCTGAAGGAATGCAACAAAAATGAATGTGACTGTCCAGCTGGGAAACTGTGGAGTTAGTGATGAATGCCAAAACCCTGGTATCTGTAGTCAAATCTGTATCAACCTGAAAGGCTATCAGATGAATCCTGCTACAGGAACCTGGAAAGGGCCATATGGCAAAGCAAATTAGATAACTGTTATTTAACTTGTCAGAAGATAAAAAAGAAAGTGTTTCAACAAGCAGCCACGGGAGGGAAGAATCACTGAACCCTCGGTGTGAGGGACTGTACCTTGTTTTACTGACTACTGAAACAGCTGTGAGAACCGCAGAAAGGGACCCATGCATCCAGAATAAAAGGACCAGTAACTACTGAAACTTGGAGGGTTGAGTCTGCTCCTGGGAAACTGAAACTCAAGCTAAGGAAGAACTAATATTCTGGCAACGAGGCTCTGCATGAATTAAGGATGCCAAATAAAGGGGACAAGCCTGAAGGGAGGAGAGGGAGAAGGCAAGACAGGGGCAGGACCCTCCACTGCGGTGTGTATGGTCTACCGAGGGAGGCAACCCCTATGGGTATTGACTGCCGAGTGAGAGGGCCTCGACTGGACTTCTCCCACACTAAGGTCAGGTTGTCCTGAGAAAATAACATAAGACCCTTTTTTTTAACCTATATAAAATTGTGATTCGTTTTCCAGGAGCTGGATCACCCTGACAGGCCGAACGGTAACACAAGCCTGAATCGACCCTGAAGGCGTTTGCCTATTATGATCCAGCTACGTGGGCAGAAGACAGATCGTGGGACTATAGGACCCCAGTATATATACTTAATAGAATAATTAGGTTATTAGCTGTAATAGAAATAGTTATAAAGATGAGAACTGCTTTGTATCAAAATTGCCTAGCTTTGGATTATTTACTAGCACAAGAAGGAGAAGTCTGTGGAAAATTTAGCTTTAGTAATTGCTGTTTAAAGATTGATAAAAAGGGTGTTTCTTCCTAGTAGCTGATAGAATGTTATGCTCTGGTTTAGGATGAGAAGAATGTTAATAATATGCTGATGTTTTAATTGTTTTGAATTGTTACAGAGCAGTGCTTACACCAAGCCAAGGACCAAGCCAAATTCAGCTTCTCCCTGTCCTGCCAGCAGGCAGGCTGGGAGGAGGGCCGGACTGCTCGGGGTTAGGTTGGGCATCGGACAGCAGGTGGTGAGCAATTGCATTGTGCATCACTTGTTTCGTACACATTCTTACTAGTAGTACTATTATCATCATTATTGTTATTATTATTATTGTTATTATCTTCTTGTTTTTATCTCAACTCACAGGCTTCCCTTTCCCATTTCTCTCTCCCATCCCAGAGAAGGAGGGGGGGAGGTGAGCGAGCAAACACAAACCTGGAAGGATATGGAATGGGATTTATTTTCATGGCTGCCTGGTGGACCATGGGTTAAAAGAGTGTTATTTTTATTGTGATGTGGTGTAAAGATGTTATTGTTTATACCTTGTATGATACCTTGTCTTACATTATTAATACACCGGGTGATAAATAGTACATTGGTAATAACTTCATTAAAAAAAAGAAGGGAATATGTCAATTATGATGCTTAAGAATTGGACCCTCCAAGAACAAACTGATGAAATCCA